CGCTCGCTCGCTCGCTCACTCACCAGAGCTGAACCACTTGTCCGAAGGCGCCAACGGACACGTCGGTGATGGAGTCCCCGTTTAGGTCTCCATAGCCGTCCAAGGACCTCCCGAAGTACTGGAGGCGGCTCCGGAAGGCTCCATCGGATCCCAGGATTTTCTGAAAGGGCACGTTGGACACGAAATTATAGGGCGTGACGGTCGGGACAGAAAAAAGGCAGCTTCCACGGGGCACTGTCACATTCTCTACTCGGCCTCTCCCCAGGCTGCCGTATTTTCCCTAAGCTGCCATTGGCGTTTCAATCTCATCTCATCTGATCTTTCTCATTCTTGCAGCCATATTTTCATCAGAGGAACACCACGAATCTTTTACCATAAAACCACAAACCAGCACGAAGCAGTGAAGGATCGGTGGCCGGGGAAGGAGCTGACGCAGGTTCAGGGCCCGATTCCAATCTTCCCTCACTCTCCCCAGGTCTCTGCTCCAAGTTGCCACCTCAGCGAGGCCTCCGTGGTCACCCTCTCAAACACCGGACACCTCCCACCCTGAACATTCATTCCCTATTTCATTAAAAAATTCCTTATCATTTACTACCATCCGGAACACTATAGCATTTATATTTTTTCCCTCTGTCTCCTCCACGAGAATTAAGATCCACGAAGAGCGGAATTTGGTCTGTCCTGTGCTTTGCGACATTCCCCAAGTCTAGGGCAGCCCTGACACACCGCAGCAGCTCACTAAATATTTGCTGATTGAGTGAATAGTTATGAGATAAGAAGGGTGCAGTGCATGATCCTCATGACACTTTCTGGCTCCGGCACGAGGATGCCCACATGTAAATACATCACCTTGAAGCGCAGGGGTTACCTGGGAATACTTTGTGCGAATGGTGCCCTGGTGACCGTTGTAGATGTACACGGCTCCGGAGTTCTGATGTTCCAAAGGGGACCCAACTATCACGTCATTGAAGCCATCCATGTTGATGTCCGCGAGAGCGGCAATCGCTGAGCCAAACCGAGCGTTTTCGACACCCTCGGGGCCTTCGAGAAATTGGTGCCAATTCAGAATGCCCTTGAAAAGGGGGAAAAGGGTGATTGACGCAAACCTTACAGCTTCTATAATGAAAATTCACAGCCAATGGTGGCCAAGCTGATTTGCAAACTGGTAAAAGTAGACAGGGTTGGAAAGCTAGAATTCAAAATTCTGCACTTATGATGAGAATTATAAAAGAATTTTTATAACTAAGGTCATGGGAATCTGCTCATAAAACAAGGAAGTTCTCTTCGCGTCAGCGACACAGCCTATGTGAAAGGATCCATTCCTTTCTCTCCTCGTTCCCTCAGTACTGAGATCTTCACCTGTTTCTAAACCTTCTGACTTAAAATGTTCCTGGTGAAAATCTACTAATATTTTGAATAAAATTAAGATAAAGACCAAATAAAATACAATATCTTACTTTAGACCTTTCTATAAAAGTTACTGAACCGTGGCATAATTTTAATGGTCTAGGAAGTGAAAATGCGATTGTTCGTATCCCATTATAAGAAACACTAAATAATTCCCCCCCGAGAGAAGACATTTCTGTGTAAAAGACGCAGCTGCTTGTTTTAGATTTTGAAATCAAGAATGGGGATATTTCGGGACTTCACAAGAAAGCAATGCTCCTTGACCGGGACACCAGGTGCTAATTCTTTCTTCTCTACAATAATCTTCCAGAAATGAACTTGTTACTAAGCTTGAGGAAGCATTAGGAGATCTCCTCGCCTCCAGCAACGAATGACACTTCAGGATGGTTGACCAGCAAGAAACTTTTAAGAAACTGGGATCTGGTCAATTTTCAACCAAGTTGCTAAGCGCGTCCCTTATTTGAATGCTCAATTATGCATTCTTCATCTGCTTCAGAATTAAGTGCTTCTGCTCAAGGCCTAATTTTTACATGAATTTGAATACATAAGGGAGGGCCAATGACCACAACAGCTAAACACAGTATCTACTATGCTAATGTGAGCTTCTCTCTCCCACCTTCCCCCTCTGTGGTCACCTAATTTCTGCGCCACTATATTTATGTGTATGGATTTAGAGAGCTCAGCCTACGAGTGGGAGGAACTGTTTTTCCATGTTGGAATACGCTGCTTTATGCGCAAGGACTGGAAAGTTCAGGAGTTGGACATATACCTAAATGTTACACTGAGCAATGGCATTTCCTGCCAACGAGCGCAGAAAGCACCCAGGGCGCTGTGGAGGTTTCCAAGGGGCCTGGAGCAAGTTGCCCGTCTCCCTGTAAAAAGTTAAGACGGTCATGTTGCGCTCTCATTGCTCTCTCTTTACAGCACAGAAGAACTGGATGAGACACTGGGGAAGGACACAGATGCCGTGTGTGTGCATGTGTGTGTATTTAAAAAGTGATGTGCATTTACGACTTTATTTGTGTAAGAGAAAGCTTCATGGAAAACGTCAGTGCACAGTACATAAATCTCTAGCTTACGCTCTAGGTTAATGTGATTTTAAAAAGTATAACTGAATGGTGACGTCCCCCAAATGAGGAAACACAAGCCATACTATACATGAAAATCATCACTTAATAATAACAGATTTTCTCTAATCAAATGCAGAAATGCAGGTTAAGTTTAATTAAGCAACACTAATACATATTAAACTAAGTCGGCGTAATATTTCTTTACCTTTGTGATGGTGAACAGGTAGACCCTCCCTTCCTCCTTCTTTAGGTCGTTCATGTACGTCGGCGCCCCCACCAGGAGCACGTCTGTGACGGTGTCTTTGTCCACATCGACGGCGCAGAGCACGCTACCGAAATAGGAGCCGATCTAGAGCAACGAAGCACAGCAGCCTTAGGACTCCCGGGTTCCAATACTCCTAGTATTGCACTCAACTGTTATTTACTCACCCGACAAACAAAAAGTGAGCGTTTACCACCTGTAAAGTGCTAGGAACATAAAGATGGGTAACACAATTCCTTCTCTCAGGCTGTGTCACCATCTAATACTTGGCTCTTAAACCATAGAGTGCCCCCAGTCACCAAGAAAATATCTTTAAAAATACAGATTCCTGAGACCCATTTCCAGGGATGCTGAGCCCATGCCTAGGATGTGACCCAGGAAACTGTATTTTATAAACAGGCCAGGTGTTCCTGATGCTGGGGGGGGGGG